GTTCTAGCCATTTCACATTTCAAAACGAGCCATAATTTGGGACCGAGAGCACGTTCTGGCCTCCTCCCAAAGGTTCCACAAGTGTAACGCCATGACAAACATGCTTCTCAGGGGGACCCGGTGACGCCCAAAGCGATTTATTGCAATTTACAATGTGTCACCTCCAGTCCTCCTCAGATCTGCCCTTTACGTTTTCCTTGGCAAACTAGCCAAAACTTATGTTTATCCTAGAAAATCATAGCTCATAGGTAGTCTAATCTAGGGCTCAGGATAAATATTAAGAACTGGGGACCACATAGTACGGGGTTAAGGGCACGATGAAACCACGCTCTGCAATCAGACATCTGACTGGAAACGCTCTCCACTTACCGTGCGATCTTGTGCAAGCGACCAAATCCTGTATCTCCGCAGCGTCACCTATAAAACGGGGTGGTCATAATGCGCCTCGGAGTCACTGTGAGGATTGAATCATTTACAGTGCTTTATACAACACCTGATACTAATCAGAAAAAAGTTAGCTATTCCTAATGTAGCCATTAGTAATCCGCTCGCAAGGCCTTCGATTTTAATCTTGCCTGAATTCAAAGGTCTCAAAGAAACGGGACCCCGGCTTTCATTTCCTGTTTTCTTAAATGACCACTAAGGGTACAGCTCACAGTGTGCTCTGATTTACCAGAGCCTCAGTTCTAGGTAACGGCCCTTTCCTACCTGACTTCCTTCAGTGAGATGCCTGTGCACTGACTTACTCCGTTGTCTAGAATGTAAACTTTTCAGTGGTGTACTTGAGTTCCAAAGAAGCCCAAATGGCACTAGAAGTAAAACTCTGTGAAGGTCGTGAGGCAGAGATGAGCACACCAAAATTATTGCCAAGGAACTGAGCTCCTGTGCCAATGACGGGCGGGGCTCTGCAGGAACCAGAGGAAACAAAACCATAATCGAAGTCGCCCTCGGCTGAACAAATACCAATACCGAGGGGAAATCTCACTCCGGTATCCGAATGGGACAGACCTTGTTTGTAAACAAGGCCTTGTGAGTGGCTTAGGCCAACACGTGTAACAGGCCGGAGGTTGGGATGGAAGACAAGCTGCGTGAGCACACGGCACACTCGGACGAGTGTTTGTATTTACAGAGGTCCAGCGACAGAGTGGTCAGGGCAATGGTGAAAATCCCAGAAGCAGCGGATACGAGCCCAGTGAAAATGTCGTTTGCATGAATCTTTCCAGGGTTCTTGTATCGGAATACGCTCGAACCTTTTATTTTACCAATCTAAGATTAAGCCATTAAACTACAGAAGTCGTACCCCATGAACCGGTACCTGCCCACACGCACAGCTGTTAGGAATCAAAATCAAGGTTGTGCTGCATTGTATGTAATTCCACTTGACTCTACAAACGAAGTCTATCTGACGTCAGTTCAAAGCGACAGAACCTTTATGAGATTTCCCTCTTAAAAAAAAAACAAGATGATCAAGCACAAGTAATCACTTCATGCATTTTATTGATAGTCTATATTTTAAATCTGCAGTATGACATCTTACATAGGGAAAAAGCTTCTTCCTAAAAGATAACTATTAATAATCAAACCAGCTTTAATATGACCGACCTTTCGAGGTCTTGTTTTGCATTAAACAAGTTAAATTTTAGCAGGTGTAAAGCACTGTACAAAAAAAAAAAAAAGAAAGGAAACTGGGTACATTCTCAAAATTTAACACAGGGCTTCCCAACCAGGAGTCTGCCGGACAGATATTGGAGGCGGTGTCACATTCAGGTTTAAATTGAAAGAAAATGAGAAACCAGATAAAGCGGGCCGACCGAATTCTCTCCACTCTGCGCTCCTTTCTGCTTTTCTGCAAGTCTCCCCAAGGTCAGGAAGCCCCGGTACAACAAGCAGTTAAGTCTTTACAGAACATACATTTATGTGCTTCACGTTCAGACATAAAGGCAGCCTTCGTTACTATCCCCTCCGCATCCCTCGGCTTCTTACAGACTTCAGAAAGCTTTCCAAGACTGCCCAGTTCTTTCGATAAACCCAAGTCAACATCTATACCAAAGCAGCTCTTCCCGAGAGAAGGTAAAACAGGCACAGATACGGAACCAGGCCAATCGCGTACCTACTGAACTTGAGACCTGATCACGTGGCCCTACATCTGTGAAAGCAGCACCAGGGACAAACGGAGCTATCAAGAGGTAAATTCCAAACATTGGACTGTTAAAACACATACACGTCAATCAGTTAAAGAATGTCACCAGAGGGGCACTGAATAGTTAAGGCTGGGCAGCTGGTTCTACCACACCTTAGTATCGAGAAAAATCTGCAAGAGGAGGGACCGACAGGAACCCTGAAGTAACTAGGCACAGCGGTATGGCGGGCTTCGCTTGCACTGCGTGTCTCGGAAGACACCGGCCACTCAAATCCAAGTGACTACAGAGCAGCTTGTGGCTCATTGGGAAAGAAATACGAAATCAAAAACAAATACCTGGCTACAATTTTATTTGAGAGTGTTAGAGGGTATGCCCATTTCCTTGGAATTTGAATGAAAACATCTGCACAGAAGTGAAAATTATCATAAAACCGATAAACTGCTGTCATCCCTTGAGAGTCCCAACGCTTCAATAACAGTGCGATTCTATCCTGCATTTTTAGATACAAAATGGATTAATTAAATCAAGTGTGAGCTCACTCACTTGTTGGGAAATTAGATATTTTAGAAATGTTCCAGTTAAGAACTCAATTTCAAAAACAAAAACAAAAACAAAACACAAACCTCAATTTCAGAATGCTAAAATTTTTAAAGGGTAGGTACTGAACTCAAAGCTGTTTCTTAGTTGCTTATTAAAAATCTGATTTAAAAATAAGTTAAATACTCATTCTTCGGACCTTGCACTTCAACTTTCTAAGTAAAGCATGTTATGTTTACAGTTTCGAATGTTTTTTCAAAAGCATACAATTTACTAGTTAACTCGATGAATTACAACACTTACTGAATGTTAAACATACTGAAGAATTATACTAAAGAAAAAAACGCCTGACACTTGAAGATGTGCCTTATCAATCTCTTGCATCATGAAGGTACAGAATACTTTAGAAAGTAGCAATCGGCATAGTCTTAGAAGACAAGGAAAAGAATAAAAGTGCCCTGCGAACGTGGCTTCTAAGTACTTAACGATGGTTAATAAATTTGACAGGGAAGCCAGTAAGATAAAACATCAAAATTCAAATAAGGCAGATTAGAAATATTTTTCATTCACGAAAGAACAAAGAAGAAAAGGGGGCGGGGTAAAAATATCCTCTATCTTTAAAAGTATCAACAAGCACAAGGTGCCACTGTATTCTAGCAAGCTGGAAAAATGGCGTTGGTTTGCAACATTCACCTCCCTAACACACGGGCGTTTCAGGAGCTGACCCAATGTCCTGGCTTATGCCTGACCCATTTCATACTGTGGACATTCGGGAAGCAGGTGGCTAAATACAAAGCGTATCGCGGTAACCTTCACAAACGTAATTTGAGACGGTGACACTAGAAGAGCGTACTTGGCACGGGAGGGACAAGTTTTTTTATTTTTATTTTTTTTGGGGGGCGGGGGGTTACTTGAGTTAACACTTATGTTATAGATAACCAGTTTCCTAATCTTAAAGTTTGGATAAATTCCAATGATCATGTGTTTAGAGATTTCACACATATATGAAACCCCAGTGCTAAACGTTGTTACCTGTAAAATCACCTACACTCCAACACTAAGGTGAACACTGTTCTCAACCCCCATCGCCATGAGCCACCTCCACCACCGGGGGGCAACTAACGTGTTCTCGGTGGAGCCATTTTCCCAGTTACACAAACAGCATGGGGCATCTTCTAGTGCTACACATTTTAAACCTAACTTGTTCACTTTTGTTTTCAGTACTAAATCCCGACCTTGTCGGCAGCTTGGACTTCAACAACAGGACACCTCAAACGTTTCGGACTAGTGCGTGAAGTTTGAAAAATATCTGAAATACTCATGGAAACTCAGTTCTCAGTACTTTTCCCTATGCTTTGAACAATATCAACTCCCAACATTGTTTTTTCTTATTCCTATGACTGACTGCATGAAGTTCAAAGTAGGTCTTGAAGACAGAACCTTTCTTTAATAAAGAAAAAGTGCAAAGATACAAAACGAAAACAAAATGTAAAGTCTTTTGCAGGAAAATGCTCCCTTGAGAGAACAGGTGTTTGGATACTGGGGGGAAAAAGGTCTTTGCTTTCCATTGTACATCTGACACCTACTAATGACCTTGTCTTCAGTGTCCACAACACGAGTAAGTATATATGAGTCATGGACCTTGCAAAAAAAAAATAAGTAGGAAATTCCACTAACATATTTGTATCCATTCTACACAATCCAATGGAAATTAATGAGTGCTATCGAGAAAGGTGTCCGCACGCACGCGTCCAACATGTGCATTCTACTGAAGGCTAAAAACTTAAAATTCTACTTCCAGTGTTCATGAACAGGTTTAATATCTACATTCATAACCAGGATTCTGCATGAGTTACTTCTTACTTTAATACTTCACAAATGAGTAATACGTCTTGGGAGGTTAGGGAGGTACCTGTTTGTCAGTAACTTTCATGCTCAGAATGAGCTGCGGTTGTTTTTAAACCGTATCAAATGAACAGCCCTACGGTAACGGGACATTTCATACCAAGAGGAAAATGGGTTTGTTTTTAGCCAATCAGGACTACCCTGCAGGTCTGAAAACTGTAGATTACACCTTGAGGAAAAGAGACAAGGAGGCTCACAAATATAAAGGAATCCTGACTTTTAAATGGACAATTTTTCTAAAAGATAAAATGTATTATAGAAGCGCCATAAACAGTACTTTCTGCTTATATTAAAAAAAATAAGTGAAGCTTTGTTTGGACATTATTTCCTTGCAAGAGCAGGACATATCCTTAGTAAACTACCATATTTACAAGTTAATTTCCTTGACACTTAGGTAGGACTGAAAGCCAGAGGAAAACATGAAAGTGTGAACTTTGAAATAATCTTTACAGCTAAGTTGCTAACAGTTAAGGTAACCAGGTAACTCCTAAAGCAGACGCATCCTGTAGAGCATCCGACTGCGCGTGGGCAGTCAGCTCACTCTGTGAAAGGCTAAGGATGTGCTCAATTCCTCTTTGGACCCGGCCGTTTCCGCAGAAACACACGCGCGGCGCTTCCACGGGCAGACTAACCCTCGGCCCAACCACCCTCGAAAGGGCAATCGGGCCCGAGCGCCGGCGTACTTCACAAATTTATTTTCACTGCTAAGGAACTGACAAAAAGTGCACGTCCCATTGGTCGCAAGTCAGCAGTGTCAGCTTCAAATATGGGCAGCACAAGGAAAATGTGAGTTTCAAATAACCCGACACGGCTCGCTTTCAACAAAAGGTAAAAATCCCTCGACTATTCCACGGGTCTTTAAACATGACATGTAGGTCTGAGTTGGGGACAGTAACAAAACATTAACTAACGAAAGTGTACCGGTACCTCAAATGACGAATCTCAAAAAGAATGCAAACTGTTAGTACACTCACCTGCACCAATTCCTATGCTAAAAGTGGTTTAGAGTCTTTCCTCCAACTTTTTTCTTTTTTCTTTTTTTTTTGAGGAGCAGACTTGTAAAAACAACAGTGTAACTTGTGCTAGGTGGCGGCGGTTTTTTTTTAAACCAAAGCTGCCAAATTTGCTGATCTACATCTGCTTAAGGAGAATACTGCATCAAAGATCTCATCTCGCGGAACCAGTTAACGTCTGCATTACTGTGCTCGTGACAAGTTTAGACTCTTCAGAGTAGTTCCCTTTATTCCTCCAGTCTTTCATTTCCTGCCTAAATCCAAGCGCAAATCCCCAGTTCCCACTGGTGCTCAGTGCAGACTCAGTAGCTGCCCACATACATTAAACCCTACAGATATGTTCTGCTCTTGCCGTCCACACCCTCGCCACAGCAGCCTGGTACTTCGTCTGGTGTGTTTTTACTAGGTTGGCTCACAAAAAGCATTTTTTTTTTTCATTTCTAAGCATGGTACTTTACAACTTTTTAATGCATTATTACAACAGTGCATTGGAAAAGTACTGAGCCTCTACAAAATAGCTTTACATTTTTAAACAAATGAATGTGATTTTTTTCACTTACACAAGCATAGGCTTTTTTTTAATATTTCCACAAGATAAATATCTCAATTAAACTATAAGCTCACTCTACAGTGTGCCACAGTGATGGGCTTAGGAGACAGTTATATACTTAGAAGATCCTAACCTTAGTGTTATTTACACTGACATGTCTAATATCACCTTGTCTGAAAGGTGAACAAATGATATTCAGCAAGTAGCTGAATTTGTGCCAACTGATACCTGGGAATGGTGCAGCTTTAAGCGAGCACTTCTGAAACATGGACTGTAACTTAGGCTGAACTGGAACTTTCTTCGCCCCTCCCTCCTACGGCGTGGGAAACTTGAAAGATCAACGTGAAACAGGTAAGAGCCATTGCTAAGGCAGATCTTTGAAGATAACAAAGGAGAAACTGACAAGTATATATGGTAAGTCATCAGTAACATCACTTACTGATGGTGAAATCAGCTTTTTACGTCCTAAAGTGTTGCTTAAGTACTTCCTTTTACTCTGGAACAGAAATTGGAGAAAGGACAGATTCATTCGGAAAGCAATGACTTAGATCAGGTTGCTACTTTACATTAAGCACCACTCAAAAAGTGGACATAGAGCAAGCGATTCCTGTTTGCCCATCACTATACCAGCTACAAGGGCCAGGAGTCCCGACCTCAACTACACGACACTTTCTCTGTTCCCAGAAGCTAAGACTGCTCTGCGACAAATTGGACAAGTCGAATTCTCAGACAGCCAGCGATCGATGCAGTGGACATGGTACTCATGGGAACAAGGCAGTTTACGAAGTTTGTTGCCTTCTGTATATTCTGTAATGCAAACGCTACAGGTTTTTAATGCATCGTTTTCACCAAAACTTCTCATCGCCAAGTTGTCAATCTGTTCTTTGGTGAGTCCTCTAGGCTGGTCATCATCATCCTCATTTAAGAGGAAGAACTGAGCCAGACTAAGGAAGGGCAAAGAGCCACTTTCATCAAATGTGACCGGGGCCCGGTGTCGGCCCTCTCGCCTGGCGCCCGAGGGGCCGGACGGCGAGCTTCCTTCGTTACTGCCTTCAAACACCTCTGAGCTCGGCTCTGAATTTTCTCCACTGGAGCTGGAACTAGGACTGGAACCGGAACCACCACCACCACCAGAACCCCCTCTTCCATTCCGTGACTCTGCCCTTTCCATATTTTGACTCGCGACTGACCCACTAGGCTCTGAATCACTATCACTGTACATAAAGTAGCTCAATTCACCGAACCCTGTCATTATTTGCCTTAACATGGTCTGAATTGCAACAGATGTCGTCTCACTCAAACCGGTATTTAAGATTCTGCGAATCGGAATTCTGATGGTACTGACATAGGTTCTCACACCTGCGCGCTCGGAACGCGAAAACGTACGCCTGAAACCTCCTCGCTCGCTTTCGTAAGTGACGGTGTTGTTCGGCGTCTGAGACCTCGAGCGGGTTCTGCTAGCTATGCTATCCCTCTGCCGGTACTCTCCGGGGCGGACTCTTCTCACTTGAAGGTCAAGGACTATGGTGGGAGGTCTCTGTCCCGATCCTGCAGACTCGCCATTACCAGCTGTGTCTGAAGAACCCGCTCCTTGTGAGGCATTTCTTGTTCCGGAAGCTGCAAAAAGACCTCTGCTTAGCAAGTCAGGTCCACTGATCTGCTGTCTCAATGTCACGTGGTGCCGGGTTCTAGAACTGCCCTCGGTCTCGTTTACCAAAGGATGCTCGAAAGTCTGAGATGAGATACTGTGATGAGATCTCCGCGCGGTTTCGCTCATCGGATGCAGAGGGGACCGGCTTCTTTCTGCCCTCGCTCGGGTTCTCCGATGGTCCGGGCTCCTGCTTCTGGCCCTTCTCTGACCTCTAGTGGCGGGGACTTCTCCAGTTAACGCTTCAGTCGAGCCCCGTTCTGCCCTGGCTGGCCTTGCGGAGGCTGACTCCGACCGTGGATTCTCCACTTGCCTCTGGCTGCTGTCGTCCATGTTTTCGCCGCCGGATCGTCTCGCAGACGGCTCGTGCTCGCCCTCTGGATTCGGACCCCCGTTATTACGGTTCACATTGATCTCTAAGCTGAATCGGAAGTCACCGCTGCTTGGATTAGTCCGGCTCACTGCTCTCCAAGACTGGTTTCCTCTCTGCCCACTTCTCGTCGTATTTCCGGTTTGTCTGACAGAGTTAAGCCAATCTATTATAGAGTCGCCATTAGACACGTCGTCGGAAGAGTCTCCACCTGTTTTAAGAGAGGAGAGAGGGAGAAAAAGGAACTGCCAAGATTAGGACGATCACGTAACAGCGCTCTGAAACCGCATTAGAGAAAGCACGCGTGGCCCACGAATGGACGTTTGGAAACTATCTCGCAGGGGCTTGCCGGTAAAGGCGGGGAAAGTTCAATTCCCTGCGGAAGGGG